GAAGACAAATTATCAATATTTGGAAGAAGCTGATTCCAACCCTCGTAGATGACTTTGAGGGATTCAAGACTTCAGTGGAGGAAACGGCAAGAAAACTCGAATTCAAAGTGGAGCCTAAAGATGTGACTGAATTGCTGCAGTCTCACGGTAAAACTTTAACAGAGGAGAAGTTGCTTATGAATGAGCAGAGAAAGTGGTTTCTCGAGATGGAACTGACTCCTGGTGAAGATGCTGTGAAGATTACTGAAATGACAACAGAGGATTGAAAATACTATGTAAACTTAGTTGATAAAGCAGGGCCGGGTTTGAGAGGTTGACCCCAATTTTCAAAGTTCTGCTGTGGGTAAAATGCTATCAAATGGCATTGCACACTACAGAGAAACCATTAGCAACAGGAAGTCACATGATGCGGTAAACTTCATTATCCTAAGAAATTGCCACAGCAACCCCAGCCTTCAACAGCCACCAACATGGAGACAAGACGCTCCACCAGCAAAAAGCCCCTCAAAAGGCCCAAATGATGGTTAGCATTTTTTAGCAATAAAGTACTTTTAAATTAAGGTATGTACATTGTGCTTTTAGGCATAATGCTATTACACACTTAATAGACTACATACAGTACTGTGTAAACATAACTTTTATATGCACTGGAAAACCAAAAAATTTGTGTGACTGGCTTTGTTTTGATATTTGCTTTATTGTAGTGGTCTGGGACCGAGCCTGCAGTATTTCTGAGGAATGCTTGTACATTTAAAATGGTACCTGGCATAAACAGTTCAAATTATCCTGTTGATAGCTATTATATACAATTTTTTTTTTTTTTTTTTTTACTTTTAAGTCTATTTTAAAACCTCTACAAGCCCTTAAAGACACAGACACAATTCTGTATTTTGCTACACAAATACTAAACTACAGTGCTTCTATTTTCAATACATTTTGATTTTGGGGTGGGAAATATGCCCTCTCAAAATACCAAATTACTTTGGTTTAGTTTCTTGTGAAAAAGAAAACACAGTTGCAATTCCTACAGGATTAGTATAGAATTCAACCTGGATCCCACTGCAGGCTGGCTCTAGGTTCTACCTTTTGGTGCTTTTAATTTTGTATTTTTTCCCCTAAATATACTATATAGACACAGTCGCAAAAGAAATAATCCAACTAACATGTTTAAATAATCTTATTTTGTCAAAATGTAATCATATACTGTGTCACTGAGGGATATAACTTTTTGAATGTGCACTTTACCAACCTACATGACATCCTAATGGTATATTAATAATAGTTCTCTCTATACTTAAAGTGGATCATAAAACAATTAAGAGTTTTTATATCTTGGTTTTGTGAAATGAGGACACCCACAAACTAACAAGCATACTCAAGGAATAATAAATTCTGTTCAAAAACAAATGCATGATTTTTAAAGGTTAGCACATGAGGTAAAGAAATGTTTAACAAACATTTATCAGCGGGAAAAATCCCAAACTAAGAAGTGAACTGCTCTTATTTACATACAGCATTTATTAAGGAAAAATGCACCCTGATGGACCAGGAAAATCTTAACCTGCCACAGAAATCAGACAGATGAAATACAATGTAATAGAAACAAAAATTTTCTCTTTTCCATAAAACCAAGATTAGGGATGCTAGTAAACTTAAATGCAAATATAAAGGCTGCCAGACCAATCTTCTATATAAATGCCTTCCAAACTTCCATTTCAGAGACCAGGGTGAGGGATTTAGGGGGGACAATCTTTGAATCAACATTTTATCTTCAATTCTTTGCTTCACTGACTTCTGACAGTTTGGCAAATTGGGGGTCATCACATTTAAAAGAAATGCCAAAGCTTGACAAATGCATCTAAGAAAAATAGAATAAATTCCAAATGCCTGTGCAATTTTCTGTAGTTCCTAGCATTCTAACCCAAAGTCATCACATTGAAAACTTAAGCCGCTTCCTTTAGATGGTATAATTTTAGCAAAAACCATTATATCCAAAGTACAGGATAATTAAGGTAACACTAAAATCATACACCCAAAATTCAAGTCTAATGCCCTTTTGTTATTCTGGGTTATTTGGTGTGTAGGAGGATGTATGCAGATAGTAACTTCGTTTTTGAAAAAAACTGAAAAATTTCCAATCTGATTCTTACAATTTCTTCAGTATATGTTCAGGAATCTCCCTCTTTGGAGCTGAATACTACTTACTGGCCACCAACATGGTCCACTTAAAAATAGATCTCCACCCCTCATCCCCCATCTGCCATGGTCTAAAAAATGTGCCAGCTTCCAGTTTGGGGCCTGTTGCTTACAGCCAGAGCTGAAAACAAATACACTTCACCTTTGCTGGTTTCCAGATTTCAGCTTAATACAAACAGGAGTCATGGCCTTGACTGACCTCTTCTCTGTCCAACAGTACTACAGAAGCTATTTTCCTTAAAAATATTAAGATTTATATGCTTAAATATTCGAACACTGTGCATAAGGGTAAGACAAAGTAATAAGTATTAATTTAGAAAAAAACAAAAATAAGAGACCTGAACAACTAGATATTATCTTATTTTTAAAGAAAGGGGACCAAATTCCCCGGTTTCAAAATTCAAATTTGACTCTAGTTTAAAAGGAAAAAAAAAGGGGGGGGGGGAACCAGTGATGTCATACATTAAATTCCTAGATAGGCTGTACTTCTTTATGTCAAATTTCACTTAAACAAACTTTAAGGTATCAGTGCAGAACAGAACTGCAGTGAAAGAGCAGAAACATAAGCCTTCAATTTTTATTTAAGAATAGGTATGATTTCAATCAAAATAAGGTTAGAAAACGCAAAGAAATATCAGGAATTGGCCTCTTTCAGGGAGTCCTTTAAAAAAATCTATCATTTGGAGTAACTACTGCACATCAGCTTTTGAGTTTTTTTTTTTTTTTTTGCGGTACGCGGGCCTCTCACTGTTGTGGCCTCTCCCGTTGCGGAGCACAGGCTCTGGACGCGCAGGCTCAGCAGCCATGGCTCACGGGCATAGGCACTCCGTGGCATGTGGGATCTTCCCAGACCGGGGCACGAACCCGTGTCCCCTGCATCGGCAGGCGGACTCTCAATGACTATGCCACCAGGGAAGCCCTGAGGTTTTTTTTTAAATGAGTTAATATTCCTGTCTAACTATGTGAAAATTTTTAGAGTAATTTTACTAGGAGGAAACTGGATATAATTTGGTACCTTCCCACATGGCACACTGACATGGAATAAACAAAATGGCAGGTGGGAAAGGGGAAGGAGGAAGACACAGAAAGTAGAGTTAATTATAATGGGTAAAAAGGTTTTTTAAAAAGTAGGAGTGAAGAATTTGAAACCATAAGAACAAGTTGTGTGCGTGTATGTACATATATATGTACATTTACATATGTACATAAATGTACATATATATGTACATTTACATATGTACATAAATGTACATATATATGTACATTTCATATTTTCATATCTTAAAAAATAAAATTGGAATGTTATTTCACTTAAAATGTACAGCACACAAAATGTTTTGTAGTGGTAAAGTGTACACCAATGTAAATTTTCACAATTTTCCAGTAAATAACAGTTCTGAATCAAAAAATTACTATTACAAACCCTTTAATCAAATGTTTATTTTTTGCTTCCAGCATTATAACTTGCTATAATTCATAAACTTCAATCTAAGTAAGTTTTTAGACACTGACCTAGGTCCTTAAGCACTCACTTATCCAGCAAAGAGATTATTCACCCAGCTACCACTCTTGCATGGACAATGCTCACTGGTACCTGAACAATTTAAAGTGCATATGAATTCTTTTGATGAATGGAGACACAGCTGTAGTTTTGCACTAAATTTTCAATTACTGAATTGCATGTTTTTTCATCTTGATACCTTATGATCATTAGAAAGCTACTTATCACATAATATTATAATCATACACTATGCTAAATGCCCATTTGTAACTGCAAGAAACTCATGTTACAGACACACTACTGTCTATGATATGATACAAAAGTCATGGCCACAAGTTTCCGCATAAGAGGTTTTACTTCTCTATCTCTCAAAGCAAGAACTATCCCACAGTTCAGATTTACACAAGTAGTGCCTCTTTTAAAATAAATTAAAAATAAAATGCTGTCCTGTCTGTGAAATTATAAATATTTCTAGTCCACTTTACATGTTAAAATGCTTATAAATGCATTATCTCCTAGTAAATACACATTATGGGACTGAAGCCAGTTAAAAAACAAAAACAAAAAACCAGTCATCACACTGGCCCATGGAAATATCTAGGGCTATTTTATATTTCCTATCACTAGGAAAGTTAAACTAAATAAGGGGAAAAAAGCAAAGAGAAAAGAAATTTTACAAAATGGCAAGTAGCATGACCTAAGAGTGTACTGAAATCTCTTCCTTCCATTCAGTAACAAAGCCCTTTCTGGAATGAACGTTTATGGATAACTAGGTTAGGAAAGTGTTCCTCTTCGTGCTCAGGACAAAAACCACAAGGTAGGTACGTTAAAATAATTTCTACATTCTATAAGGAAAGACAGACTTTGAAATGGAGTGACTGTTTTAAAAACCGCAAACCAAGATTTAGCCAGAATGTTCAAGATTGACAGGATTTGATGGAGTGAAATATTCACTGGCAACAAAATTAAAAATCATAATCTTACAGATGCTGCTTATTTTTTTACCAATGTGAAGAAAGGAAACATGATTGCAAGGTACAATACACACTGACAGGCTAAAATGAGAAATTATGAACAATTTAAGTAACCAA